CCGTACGGAGCCTGCGCAAGGGCCGGGGCAGACACCTGCCCAGCACCGGGGCCCAGCAGGACCTGCTGCCCCAGAGGTGTGGATTCTCACACTTGTCAGTCGGACAGCTCCCACGGGGTGCTACCCAGGGCTTCGGCTCCACCAGAACTGCTAGCCACTTTAGTGCCCGGGTAAAAGCACGTTCCAAGCAGTAGATGATGGCGGAAAAATGGCTCCCGAGAGTGCGTCTTACAAGGGGAAAACTTCTCAAATGGAAAAATTGCTGGAATATTCCAAAAAATTCCTTGCTGTTCTGCCTTCTAAAAACACTGATAGTTTACATTTATTACGCACATGCTGTTCACTGCTTCATTGCTTTTCGTGAATGACTTAATTCAAATTCTCATGAGAGCCTCATGAGGTAAGTATTAGTACTTATCCCTGTTTTCCGTGAGGAAACAACAGCACAGAGAGGCTCCATGACTTGCCCACGGTCACACAGCTAATAAACAGAAGTTTGGCGTTCAAATTCAGCCCAACCAGAAAACCTCGTTCTTAAACTTGACTAGTATATCTTCAGTGGCAACCTATTATGAATTATTCTCTTCTTCATGGCACTGTGAAACATATAGAGATATAAATATGTATATCTCTATATGTATATATGAGGCAGATATATATCTATATATACATATCTGACCAGTTGTTTGTGTTTGCATGTGTGTGTATGTGTGTGTGTGTGTGTGTGTGTGTGTAACAAATTTGGAACATAGATAGCTTGTTGATTCAAAGTATGCAGAATTGAAAATATTCATAAAATATATATCCTTATATATATGTGCTTATAAATGCATGGGTAGTGGTCCTCACTTATCGCGGAGGTTACATTTCAGATACCCCTGCAATAAGTGAAAATCAGCGAAGTAGCAACATTGTGTATATATATATATTTGTATTTAGCACAGGGTCTAGAGGGTCTCACTGCATAGATCGGACTCTTAGTGATTCTCCTGTGTACAGCCTCCCAAATGCTGGGATTACAGGTTTGTGCCACCACACCCAGTCTCAATCGCCATCTCAGCGCACTCCAGGGGTGGGGCCAGCACAGCAGGCCTGGGGATCAAACTCCTGGCCCCCCTGCGTCTGCCTAAGCAGGAGTGGATTCCCTAGTTTATGGATTTTTTTTTCCTTTGTGTACCAGGGATTGAATTCAGGACCCTGCGCTTGCTAGGCAGGCACTTATTCTACTGAGCTGTTTCTCCGGCCCTATATATTTTAAGGCTTTATAAACCCTTCCCACACACTTAAAAACTTTCTCACACTTTTAAAAACACTGTTAATGTTCTTAACCATTGTCTAAACTCATAAACCTACATAATTTTAACAACATATATATACTGCATGGTACTGCAAAATCCCATGATATGGTGAAAAATCCATAGCAAATAATTTAGATGAATATTTTTGAAAGCCCACCCAACAATGAGTCCATGTAAGTCGAACCACGAAATAGCAAGAGACCGCTGTATATACATCTTCATATATGTATACAGAGAGATCTTCCAAACTTGTTGAATCAAAACGTGCTCAATTGTAATCTAATATTACTTTATGAAATTTTGAAAAAGCCATCACAAGACAAAAAGTTATGAGAGAAACAGGAAGAGCTACGTGGCCCCCCATAATCCCACCACTGGAAGGTCACAGCAAGCAGGAGCTGACACTGCCCCCACCTCACAGCTGGGGCACCTGTGGCTTGCAGGTCAGGGGCCACTGCTCCTCACCTGCTGCGAAGGGGCAGGGCTACATTCCACCCAGGACTCCTGGGAGCTCTGAGCCCAACCATTTTTAAAGATTGAAATCTAAGACTTTTGTTTCCTGAGTGTCCAAGTAATTGACATTAAAATGAACAGAATGAACAGAGCCTGTGGCTCTGCCTATAAGGTGCCTACAGTTGGAGGCAAGCAGAATGCCTGCGAGTCCACTCAGAGCCTCACAAGCATGCCCGACCCTGCCAGCCCCTGCCACCCACCCTGTGTCTCATTTGGTCCCCACTGCCTGTGGGAGTTCTGCTCACTGGCTTCTGGTTTCCAAAAACCCCAAATCTCCTAACTGACAGACAGGCTGAGGCCAGTCAGCTACCACCTGCTGACAATGAACAATTGGTGTGGAATGCTGGCTCCAACAGGTTCCAGAAAAGGCAGCCTTGCCGCCCTCACCAAAGGAGAAGGACTTGGGGAACCCCTCACCAGTCACTAATGAATGTGGCCATTGTGATGCGGCCCCAGCCCAGACTCTTTTCTTCCTCCCTCTTTCTCTTTTCTAAATCATCGCATCACATGATCCCTTCTCTAAGACAAGTATCCTGTGCTACAAGGAACAAGACTGCACCCTGGAGCGCACTAGGGAGACCCCCTAACAGGGGTTGGGGGTCCTATCAGAATGAGGGCCCTGTGACCTCAGCCTGCCCTGCTGCGACACACATCATTTGCCAAGCAGAAAAGGAAAGCCTCTGCGTCACCTCCACCCTAATGCGTCATTCAGCCCCCCACCCCCGCCACCGCATCCCTAGGTACCGATGTCAGTTTGAACCGACCGACTATATCCTCCCACCAGCTCCTCAGAACCTATAACTGTGTGACAGTTGTATCATTAAACAACCTCACTAAAGCAGGAGGAGGACCAGGAGCAGGAATGTCCTGTTTCACCTGCCAGAGGCAGGAAGTCTCCGTTCCAGCCTGGCTCTGACTCAGACACTGCCCACCTGGTGATCTCAGACAAGTCCTCACACGGCCCCTGCGATGCGCCCTCACGGCTTCTTTGTCCCACTGAGGAAAGGGTGTCCTGTGTGGGGAAGCAGTACTGCCAACACTGGGCTTGGCAGGCGTGCTCGGCCCCGGGCACGGCGGATTTCCTGGCCCCGTGCCTGTTTCTGTTGCTCAGTTTCAAGTGGGACAGATAACAAGTGTCCCACCAAGTTCTCCGCCCCAAAGGCTGGTGTGACCTTTATGCATCAGCCTGTGGGTGAGAGATTCTGCTGCCTGGTTCGATTTTGCATCCCTTTCCGAGCTCTCCGTATGAATGGCAAACGACACCTGTGCTGTCTGCTGTTGCTACTTCCACCATGAGAACTATGTGCTCCGAAGGCCATCAAATAGCAGAGCAGCTTCCTAAATGCAGCCGGCGCAGTCTCCAGGGCCACCCTCGGAAGGGCCTCGTGCTTGGTGCAGGGCTTCGCTATCGCACTGTTGAATTCCAAATGATTTTTGAGCAAGGAGCCTGCAGATTATGCAGCTGGTCCTACCAACAAGTTCAAAAGCACCAGATGGCTTTCCCCAACCCTACAAAAGAAGTGGCTAGGAAAATGAAACACCTCTCTCCTCTGCCTGATGGTGGAAGCCTGGACCCATGGGGGGTGTGAGGCAGGAGAGGGCAATGGGTAGAGCACGTGCTTTGGTTGCTGAGTTAGGCTGGATGCAATCCTGGGGTACACCACAAGACAGCCAACAAAAATCCCTCCCTGTCTGAACTCAGGGTTCCTTACTTATAAGGTAGTCTATTACCCATAATGTTTATTCTTCTTATGACATACAAAGAAAGGTCTGTAAATTGCATGGCATGTGGCAAGTGTCAGTGTCCAAAAAATGCCCCCCACATACACACACACTTGGTTCAGGGACAGATATTGAAAATGGGCCAGACCCTCACACGGCAAAAGGCTGTGAGGTAAGGGCTGCTCCAAAGGTGCTTTAGGAGCAAGGAGCTTAGGATTTCCCATTAATCAAAGGCAGAATTCTAACTCCTATTAACTTAAGGGGAAGTTTGTTAACCAATGAGACAGGGAAGGGCAAGGATACGGGCCCTGGGAATCTGAGGGTGGGAATTCTCCCCTCCCCCATGTGGTGGACAAGATGGCTGCCTACGGCACCCCTAGACCAACAGTCTCTCAGCTCAGCAGGCCCAGAAGGGGAAGGCAGTAGCTCTCTCAGTGTATTAACCAATAAAAAGACTAACTGATTCTACTTGGACTACATCCCCACTCCGGAGCGACAGGATGTGCCCACATCGGTGTCTATGGCCAGACCATGGGGCTCAGGACTCATGACGGACAGAGTCCATGAATCCACAAGACTAGAGGAGCGGCAGTGTCCCAAAGGACACCAGGCAGAGGAGTGAATGTCCTCCGTGCCAAGTGTGGTTTAGCTAATGTTTGTTTGTTTGTTTTTTTTCCTAGTGGTACTAGAGATTGAACTCAGGACCTTGTGCTTGCCAGGCAGGTGCTTATGCCACTGAGCTATCTCCCCAGCCCTGCTAATGTTTCTTTTAAAAATAATTTTAAATAAAAACAAAGTAGTTTCATTGAAAGAAAAATAATAAACAAAGAACAAGACATAAATATAGGTAGCTACCCATGCTCACATGAGCGCATGTGTCATGCCAAAGACTGAGCATGGGACGCACATCAGCATAGACACCGGACTTTCTGTCTCACTGTAAACCAAAACGATGCTCTTCCAGGTCATGCGACATCTCTGAAAAGCTCAGTGTGTGTTTCTCATTGTGTAGGTGGCAAAGGTCCAAATGCATCTGTAGTAGCACCGTAGAATCCTCTGTTTCCAGCTGGCAAAGCCTATTCCCTAGATATAGCGCGTCTCATGGCGAAGCAGGGAACCAGCACTTTAGGATGGTGGCCCCCTGGGTTATTTTCTGTTTCAGAAACATTCTCACAGAGATGAGATTGACAGGAAAATTGCTGATCACAGCACTGGCCACGCCTGTAGTCCTTGAGAACAGAAGGGTCATTGTCCTGTGGCCACCCAAGGCCAGCTGGCCCCGGAGAGTCCCAGCCACCGCCCTGGGCCAGAGCTTCCACAGCTGATTTCCACATGCACCCACGTGTCGAGTGGCAGCTGGGCCCTTATAGGATGACCGCGTGCTCTTTCAGTTAGCTACCCATTTCAGCGAGAAATAACTGAAGCATGATTGTACTCTTCTCTCACACTTTCAATTCTTTTCTCCAGACCAAAGTGAGAAGTCACGAGGGTTTTGATGCGGATCGAGATGCCAAAAAGCTGTACAAAGCCTGCAAAGGAATTGGTATGAAACACATTTCATTTGCTAATTTATTCCTGAAGTTGATTAAAATTGACCTCATGACTACCGGGAAGGGGGATGACTACATGCCATGTGTTGCAAGCTAACCCAAGTTGATCACTACTAACAATCTTTCTATTCAAGTTCCCACACCTTTGATCAGATCCTATTACTCTTCAGCATTCTATATGACAATTAGAAGTTGGATATTGTGGCAGTCAGTTGGACTTTGTGGTAAAGGAAACAGAAGGGACTCATGAAATCCTACATCGTGTAAATCCCTCTGACCCCTTTTGTGGGAGGGGAGAAGGAGGGGGCCTGATGAGAGCTGGATTAGGGATGTGAGAGATGTGTTTAGAAGTCAATCAAATGAGTATGAAACAGGGGTCAAGGTCAAGGATCTGGGGTCAGCCTGGAGAAGCTATTTACATAGTGTATGATTAAGAGTAGAGCACTGAGCCAGAAGTTGGCTGGGAGAAGGTGAACCCAGGGCCAGGTTGGGACAAGGCAGAGAGCAGCTAAGCCTACAGCCACAAAGAGGCGCTCTGGGACCCAAGGAGACCACTGTGACAGGAGTGGAAGTCCCAGGAGCCAGGAAGAAGGGGGAATCCAAGGCACAGCTGGGAGGATGGCAGAGCTCGGACTGACAGCTGGAGCAGATACACATAGGGGGCGTTGGGGGGAGAAACTGAAGGTGCTCGTGCCTGGTGACGCTCCATGATTCAGTGAGTAGGGGACGAGGTTATCTGCCAAAGAGGGGGTTTGTGATGGAGCATGGGGCTTGTGGGTTGTCTCAGAATAGCCCATGAGTAGCAGAATGGAGAGATGAGCCAGAAGAGTGCTGACCCTGCCAAGAGCCCCACAGAGAAGGACCATGATGGGCTTTCATGGCTCCAGCCCACAACACAATGATTTCCTTCAACTGCCTGAAAGTAGGAGAGGAGACCTGAGAGTTAGGCTGAGTTTGGCTGCTGGTGAGAAGTCTCAGAAGAAGAGCAAGCTAATGGGGAGAGAGGGCTAAACGGACAGCTGGACTGAATTTCCGGGCTCTTCGAGTTTTCGTTTATTGGGCAGCATTCAGGTTTTCAGTCACTGTGTATACAAAACCTCATTGAATCGTCCTTACAAAAAACCACTTTTCAAGTACTTCCTTCCTTGAAAGGCCCTAGTAAATAACACACCCAAAGTCACAAAGCCATTTGGTGGTGAACACTGGGACAGATCATATCCTGTCACTCACTCCAGATACCTCAATTTAGAAAGATTACAGGTGGCCACCTTGGCCACACAGCTGCAGGTCCCCAGGGCAGAGGGTAGGCCTGAGAAGACATTGAGTCCGCCGGATATTATTCAATTATTATTTTCCTTATAGCAATATAATTCACATACCTTACAACTCCCCCTTTTGTAACATTAAAATTCAGTGGGTTTTGGTACGATCATAGGTTGTGCAAATATACTACTAATCCTAGAACATTTTCATCTTCCACCAAAGAAACCCCAGAACCATCGACAGCCCCCACCCTCGGCCACAGGCAGGCACTAACCTAACCTACCTATGGCATTTTCCTGTACTGGATGTTTCATATAAACAGAGCCATACGATACATGGCTCTTTACACCTTGCTTCTTTTACTTGGCATAGTGTTTTACTTAGAAGGAAATCAGGAGAGATTTTCTTTCCCGGGAATTGGTGTCATGGTGGAATAAATACGGTCATAAATCTTGTATGTGCCTCCAGGGGGCGAAAGTGAAGACCTAAGTGGGCAGATGGTGCTCTGAGGTGAGAATAGTCTGCCTTGCTTAGGGGATGGCGGGCAGCAGCCCCAAGGCAGTTGGGGACAGGAGAGATCTGCTAGGAAAGTGGTAGGGAGACCTCTACATCCCACCAGCTGAGAACGTAACTGGAAGCCTCTCCGCCCCTTGGTATCTCCGCTTGTACGGAAGCATCTATCTGGATCAGAGATGCCAGGTGTGTGGCATGCATACCACTCTTTCCATCTGGATCATCATGGCAGACATTGCTCGTGGATCCCAGAGTGCTTGCTGATCCATAGGGTTGGGGATGAAGAGGGAGTCTAAGGAGAGAGAGTGATGAAAGGAAGGGAGGAGAGAGGGAGCCGGAGATGAGAGGGATGGAAGGAGGAAGAAGAGAGGGCACCCACTGTCAGCGCAGATGGCACACAGCTGCTGGGCTTGGGGAATCAAAGAGGAGTTGGAGGGACTTGCTCCTGCTCTCTCCTGTCCACGTGGAGAACAGCAGCTGGGAGCAGACTTCTTTGCATGGAAGCAGCGGGACATTTGCGGCTCTGCATTTTGTTAAGTGGCAGGGACTCCAGGAGCTTTCCAGGCAGGTGGGGCTGCCCTGCTGCTCTTGAGTGAGGCCTTGGAGGTGGGAACCCGAGTGGGTGTGAGAAGGACAGCCGCTCTTAAGGGCAAATCTCTGCTTCAGCTGCCTGGAAGGCATGCTGTTCTCTTCCCGCCGCTGCGCTTGTCACAGGAGAGGACCAATATGGTAGGGGTTACTGCGTACAGCACCTTCTGTGTGCCACGTGCTAGGGCAGATGCCGCACATCCCAACAACCGTGAAGTTGCTGTTGGTAGAACTACTTAACGTATAAAAATCCAAGAGGCTTGGAAGTTGAATATATTGCCAAGCCCAGAGAGCCACGCCATGAGTGTGGGCCGTCAGAAACCAAAGCCTTCTCAGAGACTTGATTTGATTGAAGGTCTAGACTCCAGCTTCCATTGCTGGGCACAGGCTAAAGCAAATCAAATTATTAGCAGGATCGGTCTACAAGACCATGAGCCCATGTCCTTGATGGACCATCGTCAGGGCTAGATTTCAAAGACTAAGGTGCTAATGTCCCATAGCCACAACCCCGAGCCCTACAAGTCATTTTAAATTTTTGAGAAGCCAAATTTTAAAATAAAAAGTAAGTGAAATGTGTTGTTTTAATTAACCTGAATTTTATAAAAACATCGCTCCATGAAGTAATGGATATAAACAGTAGCACTGAAGTGATTCCCAGCCGTCCTTGTCATGTCAAGTGTCCCAAAATCCAGCCTGTCTTCTGCACCTACAGAGCATCTCAGCTTGGCCCAGCCACACTGCAAGTGCTCAGTGGCCACGTGTGCCCCCGGTTGGCAGAGGCTCGCAGCATCGCCGAGCTCACGCTCGTGCCCCAGCCCTCACCGCTTTATGTTAATCCACACAATAATATCAGGTCATGACAGTATATTCTCCAAATGACGCACAACTCACGGGTCTCTCTCTTTTCTCTGCTTTCCGTGTGTGTGTGTGTGTGTGTGTGTGTGTGTGTGTGTGTGTGTGGAGTCTGGGTCACAGGGAACTCAGGACAGACCCGCCCTGTGCCCTCCATGCTGCCCTTCCCTCTGCCCTCCTCTCTGCCAGGCTGATGGGCCCCTCTTGCTGGGTCACCCGACAGAGCCCACTGATGGGAAGGCATTCAGCCTGTGTGACCAGAAAGCTCTTTGAGGTTGCAGCTGCAGGAAGTGACCCAGTGCTTGGCTGCTCAGGTTTCCAAGGGTGCTCCAGTCATCCAGTGGCTGGCGGGTGGAGGAACCCAGCTTTGCTGAAAGCCAAGCTGCAGCCTCCTGGGCTCGACTACTTCAGAACCTTAACTGGTATCCAGACCTTGGGGCCTGCAGAAACACCTGCTGGGTGTCTTCCCAGAAAACTGCTGGGAAGCAAAGCCACAGCAGCACTTCCCGGGCTGACCAGGACAGCTCAGCCCTGACCCAGCTGTGTGATCATTCCCCACATTCATGCTCAGACAGATCCACAGTTCTTTTCTGAGGATTTGAAAACAGCTTCCCAGAATCACGAGTGACTGGCCCCAGGGCCTCAAACCAGTACAAATGTTTACAGGAAATTTGGGGCAGTGCAGGTTGCTTATATGACACACATGGTGTGACATGAAGAATGGGAATGGGGTCACCTTGCAGCCGGACAGCAGAAACAACCTCCATGACCCACCTGAGCCCCGGACACAGGGGGCTGAGGGAAACTGAGGAGTCCTTGTCATGCCTTGCCCCACTTTGCCATGTCCCAGAGCCACTCCAGGATTCCTGGGCCCTCGGGCCCCTTTGGAAAAGGATTCTAGAAGGGAAAGCCCAGATGACACTGGTTTTAAATATGAACTCAGTTTTTCTGACTATTCAGGAAGGAAAGCCTAGAGGGCATTGCTTTTTTTTTTTTTTAATATGAACGTGGATCCAGACATGGGTTGCAAGTGACACTACAGAGGATTTTCTAGTAGTCTTTGCTACATTCAGCCTGTATGAGTATCACATGCACCTCATACCAAGGCAGGCAGGTTGTCATAATAATGTGCACATTTCTCCACTCATTCATTCTTCATTCATTCATTCATTCTTCATTCATTCATTCTTCATTCATTCTTCATTCATTCATTCATTCATTCATTAAGAGTCATCTGATAAACACTGAGAGCCTTCTGTGTGGCTACAGCAGGGAGCAAGACGCCTTGTTCCTATGGAACTCTCAGGCTGTCACGGCAGCAAGGACAGGTCATGCATGGGACCCAGAGAGGAATGCTTTCCCCTGCCCTGGGCTTCCACTGTTGAGCTGAAGCACTGGAGAAGGAGCAGAAGTAAAGGGGAGAGAAGAGATAGCACGGTGTTCCGGGTGGAAGAAGGACCCAGAGGTACAGAAGGGCGGCTTGTTCAGTGATTCTGCCGAGCGCCGCGATGAAAACGGAGACTGGGGATCTGGGTGGACCTTAGTGAGACAAGATGGACTAGAGAGGTGTTCGCATGACTGACTGGGTGGGAGTGAAGGGAGGAGGGGCCAGGGTGACAACTGGCCCACTGCAGTGACAGGGCCACTGAGCCCAAAGGGAGCGTTCAAGTGGCAGGAGAAAAGGAAGTGCCTTTGGAGGTGACATTTCCGGCACTCACAAACTGTCACCAAGTGAGAACTGGATACGCAGTTGAAGCTGCAGGGGGAGAGGAAAAGG